ACAGACATTTCTCCAAAGAAGATATACAGATTGCCAACAAACACATGAAAGAATGCTCAACATCACTAATCATTAGGGAAATGCAAATCAAAACTACAATGAGGTATCATCTCATACTGGTTAGAATGGCCATCATCAAAAAATCTACAAACAATAAATGCTGGAGAGGGTGTGGAGAAAAGGTAACCCTCTTGCACTGTTTGTGGGAATGTAAATTGATACAGCCACTATGGAAACAGTATGGAGGTTCCTTAAAAAACTACAAATAGAACTAAAATATGACCCAGCAATCCCACTGCTGGGCATATACCCCAAGAAAACCATAATTCAAAAAGAGTCATGTACCATAATATTCATTGCAGCTCTATTTACAATAGCCAGGACATGGAAGCAACCTAAGTGTCCATCGACTGATGAATGGATAAAGAAGATGTGGCACATATATACAATGGAATATTACTCAGCCATAAAAAGAAACAAAATTGAGATATTTGTAGTGAGGTGGATGGACCTACAGTCTGTCATACAGAGTGAAGTAAGTCAAAAAGAGAAAAACAAATACCATCTGTTAACACATATATATGGAATCTAAAAAAAAAAGTGGTTATGAAGAACTTACGGGCAGGACAGGAATAAAGATGCTGACATAGAGAATGGACTTGAGGACACGGGGAGGGGGAAGGGTAAGCTGGGACAAAGTGAGAGTGTGGCATGGACTTATATATACTGCCTAATGTAAAGTAGATAGCTAGTGGGAAGGAACCGCATAGCACAGGGAGATCAGCTTGGTGCTTTGTGACCACCTAGAGGGGTCGGATAGAGATGGTGGGAGGGAGACGCAGGAGGGAGGAGATATGGGGATGTATGTATATGTATAGCTAATTCACTTTGTTATAAAGCAGAAACTAACACACCATTGTAAAGCAGTTATAATCCAATAAAGATGTTAAAAAAAAAATAGTGCACCTGATCACCCAAGAGCTCTGATGGAGATTTGTGATGATATTAATGTTGTTTTCATGCCTGCTAGCACAGAATCCATTCTGCAGCCCATGGATCAAGAAGTAATTTCTACTTTCAAGTCTTATTATTGAAGAAATACGTTTTGTAAGGCTATAGCTGCCATAGATAGTGATTCCTCCGATGGATATGGACAAAATCAATTAAAAACCTTCTGGAAAGGATTCAACATTCCAGGTACCATTAAGAATATTTGTGATTCATGGGAAGAGGTCAAAATATCAAATTCACAGGAGTTTAGCAAAAGTTGATTTCAACCCTCATGGATGACTTTGAGGAGTTCAAGGCTTCAGTGGAGGAAGTAAGTGCAGATGTGTAAATAGCAAGAGAACTAGAATTAGAAGCGGAGTCTGAAGATGTGAATGAATTGCTGCAATCTCATGATAAAACTAATGAATGAGGAGTTGCTTCTTATGGATGAAAAAAGAAAGTGATTTTAACACTTCACAGCAAGGCCCTAACTCTCTTCAGTTCTATGAAAGCTGGGAGATGAGGAAGCTACTCCTGGTGAAGGTGATGTGAAGGTTGTTAAAATGACAGCAAAGGATTTAGAATATTACATAAACTTAATTGATAAAGCACCAGCAGAGTTTTAGAAGACTGACTCCAATTTTGAAAGAAATTCTACAGCGGGTACAATGCTATCAAAGAGCATTGCAAGCTACAGAGACATCGTTCACAAAAGAAAGAGTCAATTGATGCAGCAAACTTCATTGTCTTATTTTAAGGAACAGCCACAGCTGCCGCAGCCTCAGCAATTAACACCTTGATCAGTCAGCAGCCATTCAACACTGAGGCAAGACTGTCCAAAAGCAAAAAGATTACAACTCACTGAAGGCTCAGGTGATGGTTAGCAATTTTTAGCAATATTTTAAAGTTAAGGTATGTACATTATTTTTTAGACATAATGCTATTGCACACTTAATAGACTACAGTATAGTGTAAACATAACTTTTATATGCACTGGGAAACCAAAAAATTCATGTGACTCACTTTACTAAGATATTCGCTTTATTACAGTGGTCTGGAATTGAATTCCCAAAATCTCCAAGTTATGCCTGTATTTTATTAAATTATTCTAAGATAGAATTTTGATACTATTAAATACCTTAGTATGGTTTCACCAGCATTGAAATGAATTTTAAAAATACATATATAGGGACTTCCCTGGTGGTGTAGTGGTTAAGAATCAGCCTGCCAATGCAGGGGACACGGGTTCGAACCCTGGTCCGGGAAGATCCCACATGCTGCGGAGCAACTAAGCCTGTGCGCCACAACTACTGAGCCTGCGCTTTAGAGCCCGCGAGCCACAACTACTGAAGCCTGTGTGCCGCAACTACTGAAGCCCGCGCACCTAGATCCTGTGCTCCACAACGAGAAGCCACCGCAATGAGAAGCCCGCGCACCACAACGCAGAGCAGCCCCCGCTCTCCGCAACTAGAGAAAGCCCTCACACAGCAACAAAGACCCAACACAGCCAAAATAAATAAACAAATAAATAATTTTAAAAATACATATATACACATACATACCTATAGACTGTACAGGGCCAGCTTCATGAACATGCAACTTGTGCCCTCACAGGACCCCATGCTCAGAAGGGACACAGGATTTAGTGCTCTGAGGTTGCCTTTGAAATTTTAAGTAAGTTTATCTTTGAACTTGTGTGTGTTGTAATTGAAAGTTGGTTGGACAGTGGAGCCTACACTAGAGTCTCGGAGCCTTGGCTCACCCACTCCACGTGACATCTCCATGCTTCCTCATGGTGGGCTCTCAGCAGCTCCCTTCCTACCTCCTGATGTCCTAGGACCCTGTCTAACCTTCGCCTTCCTAACCCTGAACACTGTTTCCCTCCATCTGGATGGCCAACCAGTTGCATAGGCAGGCAGAAGTGGGGAGGGTGAGGGAGGAGGCCAGCATTCCACTGTCACCCCTGGCCTCTGGCTGGGCAGGGGGCCCTAGCAGCTACACGAACAGCAGTGTCAGGGATGACTGCACAACCCCATTACTTGGGGTGAGGCGAGCAGTGGCTTTCCCAGCCTAAGTAGGATTGGCAGTGATACGGCATGTTTGGTAGGTGACGTGGTGGGGGCCCCTTGCCAACTCCTGATCTAGGAACTGAGTGGGTTCCTTCACAGAGGTTGCAATCTCTTAGAAGTTGCCTCTTTGTCATGGGTTGGAGCAATGGGACTGTGGGGATATTTACTTCCTTGTCCAGGTCAACCAAGAGACTATAAATGCTGCATAAATATATAGTTAATAAGAAAATATAATGAATATGCTGTAGGAAAATACTGCAAGGTGTACCCTCAGAATTTTAAAAAAAATGTAATAGCATTTATTTTATAAAAGAAGCTGAAAATGAATTGTCTGTCTAGAAAAACGAAGTAAATTAGAATACATTTTAGTAATACTATTGGGAAGTAATCTAATTCATATATGGCAGGGTGTAATTGTCTGACATTCTGGTGCTACTAAGTGACTCACTCCACTATGTCTGGGAGTTTTCAAACAAGTAGAATGACAATTCCAAGATTACATAGATCATAACTGATTAGTTCAACCATTAATTTTGATCAGAGTGATGTGGGAACCATTGTGATATGATGTGATGTCAAAACTTTGTTAATTTCTGGTATTTTAGGAGTTGCCCATTTTCACCCACATAGACCAAAAAGTGGAGGTAGTATAAAGAAATAAATTTTCTTTTTTCCCTTTGTTGAACCAAGAAATTAAGCCTCATGTCAACATCATCCACTGTGACTCTTCCCGCACCCCACCCTGCCCAGTCCCACCTTTTTTTTTTCTCTGCCTAGAACTCTAGGTCTTCCCCAGGAGAAGTGTACCAGGAATAACTGCAATATTCTACCAGTCCATTAGGGTTTAGTGTAAGAAGTATACAAAGAAAAGGGAAACACAAGGTAAAAAACAAGGGAAAGGAACCTGAATAAAAGGTATTCAAGATAAAATGGTATAAAGAATTGGAACCCAATTTTTGTTGACTCATCTTTCTTGGCAGAATATAAAATTGAGAATACAAGTGATATGTAGCAAAATGTAGGGATTTTACCAGACTCTATCTGTAGAAATGCTTAGTTCAGTTGAGTTAGTAAGAGTAATATTTAACTTTGACTATCATCAAATCAAAGGCAGGAGGAATTTTAGAGATACTGTGGCTCTATATAGAGATGAAAAACTCCAGTGGACTAAGTGACCAGGCAAAAGGCCACACAGTATCAGAGTCAAAACTATTGACTCCTAGCCCAGTATTTTTTGAATTTTCTTTACCTTCCGCTAAACAAAGTTCTCCCTACAATTCCTAGTAAAAGCTAATCTTATATATATTTTACTTTTAGCAGGTTATAATGGAATGTTAATGAGGTTTTGAGCCATAGTCCCTAATTAAGTAGCATTTTAAATGAAATAAGATGTTATCTACAGTCTTAAGTTTGTAGCACTACTTTTTTTTTTTTTTTTTTTTTT